TACTGGTGCTAAAGACCTTCTTGTTGTTGGAGGATTAAAACCACAACTATTTGAGATTCATGGAAATAAAATGGTAAATGTTGCTGTATTAGGTGCTTCAAATGATTCATTATCACCATGTACTTCATTAGATTGGAATGTTATTAATAAAGATAGATTAGGAACTTGTTCTTTAGATACTACAGTCACTGTATGGTCAGTTGAAACTCATCAACCAATAAAAAAATTAATTGCACATGATAAAGAAGTTTATGATATTTCATTTGCAGCTAATCCTGATTTATTTGGAACAGTTGGAGGAGATGGTTCATTGAGAATGTTTGATTTACGTTCATTAGAACATTCAACTATTTTATATGAGTCACAAGGTCTTGTTCCTTTATTAAGATTAGCTTGGAATCATTTTGATCCAAATTTCATTGCTACATTCTCTTCTGACTCAAATAAGATTATTGTTATTGACGCAAGAAAACCAGCTGTTCCATACACTGAACTTGCTTTACATCAAAGTAATGTTAATGCTATTTGTTGGAGTCCACATAGTAGTACTCATATTTGCAGTGCATCAACAGATAGAAAGGCATTAATATGGGATTTATATCCTATAGAAAAATCAAGTGATCCAGTTGCACTTCAGTATGAAGCATCAGCACCAGTTAATGATATCTCATGGTGTGGAACAAATTCTGATCTTATTTGTATGTCAGTTGGAAATCAAATTCTAGCTGTCCGAATTTAATCATTTTTGTTATATATTTTATTTTAATGAAAATATAAATAGATAAGAACTTTAAAAAGAATCAGGTGATTAAAAAAAATAAAAAATACTTTTTTTGTTAAACAATCTAAAAAAGAACTAAAAATTCAGAAAGAATTCAAAAAAGTTTGAAAGTGATGAATTTGTTTTTATTATTTTATGTGATTTGTTAAAAAAGTTAATAGAATTCAATTAATTTTGTTTTAGTGAGTAACAGAAGAGTTTATGCTACAATGGGTGATAATTTCCAACAAACGAGTAATTTTTCAAACTCCTTTACCTTGCCAGGTCACATTCCAACAACTGCTTCCCAACCAGATGGTACAACACCAAACCCATCATTTGCTTCAGTTCCTTATCCACAACAACAGACTCAGCAAAGAACTACAACAAATAATAATATGGCATTCCCCCAACAAAATATGGGATCTATTCCACAACAAACACCAAATGACCAAACATTATTACAACAAAATATTGTTCCAACTCAATACTCTAATCAACCTGTACAACAACCACAAGTTAATCAACCTGTTCCTCAAGAAAAGCCAAATGTAGACCAAAGCTCTATGCCAGCACCTACTATTATTAGTTCACAACCAACAGCATATAATAATCTTATTACTCCTCCATCTTCACTTCAGCCATTTACTTGCGCTGTTAGTAATAAGTCTTCCCCAAAGAATATTAGAATGAGTGTCTTTACACCTGCTTTTCAAGGTAAAATGATGAAATTACTTGAAATTCCACTGTCATGTGAAGTTACACCATTTGCTAAAATGTTTGAAGGAGAAAAATTAGAAAGTGTAAAAGTTGAACCAAAGAATATTAAAAGATGTCCAAGATGTGGTGGATATGTTAATCCATTTTGTACTTTTGAAGAAGGGGGAAAAAAGATGAAATGTAATTTGTGTGAATATTTATCAGATGTAGATGATAATTATTTCTCACCTCTTAGAGGAGATGGAAAACGAGAAGACACAGAACGTAGAATTGAATTAATGTATGGAACAAATGAATATGAGTTAGAAGGAAAAGATCCAGTTTACATAAATAAAAGTTGTGGGGAGCCAATGAAATTTATTTTCCTTATTGACGTATCAAAAGACTCTTTAACAAGAGTATTTGATTCTGTTATGAATGTTCTTCAAAATGCACTTCAAAGTGTTCCTGAACTTGTTAAAACATTAGAATGTGGATTTGTTACTTTTTCTAATTATATTCAATATTGGGTTCTTGGTAGTACTCCACGTATGGTTAAAGTCTGCGACATAACTGAACCATTTGTACCATTAGCACCAAAGAATTTCTTTAAACCAATTTCTGAAGTAATTGAAATGATTCCAATGTTAAACCAATATATCAGGAAAAATATTACTGAGGGTGTTATTAATGATAATTGTTTAGTTAGTGCTATTGAAAGTGCTGCTCAAATGATTGGAACAACTGGTAAAATTCTTGCATTTACAACATCTCAACCAAATGAAGGGACTGCAGCTCTTATTAGAAAACCAAGTGATATTAGTTCTAATCCACAAACTCCAGCTAACCAATATATTAATCAAATGGCAAAGAAATTAAGTTTAAATTGTATTGGAGTAGATTTGTTTGTTCTTCCAAATAAATTTAGTGACATTGTAACTATTGGAGAAATTCCACGATATACAGGAGGGGAATTATTTTATTATCCAAATTATAGTACTAAAAACCAAATTAAATTAACTAAAGACGTATTATCATCTTTTGATATGGATTGTGGATTTGATGTTGAAGTAAGAGTTAGATCATCTGCTGGTGTATTTATTCAAGATTATTTAGGAGATGTAATGCCATGTAAAGATATGATTGATACTGTAAGAATTGGATATATGAACAGTAAAAAGAGTATTATCGCATTAATGGATTATGATGATGAACTTAATAATTATGTCGGATTCTTTATTCAAGCAGTAATTTTATACACTGACATTTTTGGTCAAAAGAAAATTAAAATCTTTAATGGATTTTATAGTACTGCAACAGAATTAGCTGATGTTTTTAAGAAAGCAGATGCAGATGTAATTCTTAACACTTTGATAAGACAATCTATAAAAGCTGGTAATTTCTCATCAGATGCTGGTTTAAACATTGAACTACTTGACAAAACAGTCTCAATTCTTACTGCCTATAGAAAACATTGTAGTGCTCATGCTAAATCATCAATTCTTTTACTTCCAGAGGCATTAAAATTAGTGCCTATATTTGTTCTTGGTGCAATGAAAACTTCTGCATTTATGCCATTTTTCCAATTAAACTCTATGTCTACTGGGTATGGAATCAATGGAATTATTAGTGATTTGAAATTTGCTTCAATATATCAAACTACATCTATTTCTATAGGATCTTTATTAAGGCAATATTATTATAATGCCTATGATGTTACTGGTCATTTAAGTGGAATAGTAACTTCTGATAACTTCTCTGATGATTCATTTAAAGTTCGTTTATCTGAGAAAAATTTTGCTGAAGATAAAGTTTATCTCTTGGATACTGGAAAGGATTATAAGCTTTTAGTAGGAAAGAATGTTTCTGATGAAATTAAAACTAATTTGTTTGGTCAACCAATTGACTTAATGAATAACCAACAAGACTTCACTTCTTTAGTTTATTCAAATGCATTGTCTCAACCTGATAATTTGTTGACTAAATTGATTTATTGGCTTGCTGGAATGTCTTTTACTCCAATGGTAGCTCTTGAAGTAATTCCATTTAATAAAATGGATTTATCTCCTTTTATGCTTGAAGATAAAACAATGAAAGGTGTTGCCTATTTTGATTTGCTTGTGTATTACCACAAAAAAATCCAAAAAAAATTAGCAAATTAACTTCAAGTGATCTATTTTAAAATAATTTTGCTTTGTTGTTTTTTAAAAAAATTTTAGTAATAAAAATAATATTCAATTAGTATGAATAGAATTAATTTTTATTATTCTTTGTTCAACAGAGACTAGTTTTATTCAATAACTCTTCTTCTACCAATTTTACAGAATATTTTTAGCCGTGACAGAATTGTTTGATAACATTCATCATATTTTCACTATCATTATTTTTAACGATTTTATATTGTTAATTTCATTTTTAATTTCTTTAATTAACCTGATACTTGAAGTATCTATCATTTAATTTACTCAAATTTACTACTGGAATTATTTCAACATCTCTTTTTTTTATTCTCTTTTTTTTATTCTCTTTTATTTATTCTATTCTTTATTTCTTTATATTTATTTATTTCTTCATTTATCTTCATTGTTATAATGATATGAAACATTATTCATATCATTTGTTAGATTAGTTTTATTATTCTTATTTCTTATTTATATTTTATCTTTATCTTTTCTTTTATACATTTATATTATATCATTGAATATTTCCAGTTATTAATTTTCATTATACTTA